CGCATCCCTGGCACTAGGGTCTTTTTATTTACTTACTGCCAACACTTTCACTACAATAGCAATGGAGAGGTTAAATGACTTTAAAAGCATATGGCACAACACAAATCAACAGATTAAAGTGAGAATTGTGGCAATGTGCATCTTTCCTGTGGTAACATGCGGAAGTCAGCCTCTGACCTTCTTACAATCACTGAAGAAGAAAATCAGGGTTAAATATTACTGAAAAGCTCTGTCAACATCTCAGATTAAGTGGAGGCAAAATACTGATTCCACAAGACCAGAATATAGAAGAAAACTGGCTCTTAAACAGCATATGTCTCAACAACTGAAACACTTCTGCTGTTCTACTTCCATCAATGATAAACTGCATGTCTAGGGGGCAACTGTTGGCTATGGCGCCATTAGCAAATGCCACATGCATTTACTGCGTCAGCATATTTTTGGATTGTTCCGCGACTTGTTCACCAGTTTTGTTTTTTAAATGGGACAGTGAGGGACATTTGATTTGATTTGCACTGGCACAGGAACGGAGCAAGCATGGGGAAACCCGACTGCAGTGATGTTGAAACCCTGACAAAGACTGAGACATGTAAATGACAAACCCTGTAATAGTATCTGTTACAGGTCTAACATTTACCATAAAACTTGAAAAAGCATTTGAAAATAACAGCAACATCTTTGACCCATTCACTTATTCCACACTGTACAAATACGCTGTGACCCCCATTCAAATCTTTGTTCTTCAGGCAAAAATTGTCCATCTTCTTCCCACTATGAGACATTAGCACTCCACATAATAACAGTTATTTTGAAAACAATAACAACTCCTACTACATCTATAGTAAAGTAAGTAAGTAAAGGATCTTTTCCATGCCTTTCAGGCGTATATGGAATATAGGGCTGGACATATATTTTACAGACCAAAGGTACAAGATGGGCAATGTGGTCATCATCACACCGGCCACCTTTACTTCCTAGGACTGCACGCGGTACCCACTCAAGGCTAGGTCGACCTGGGAGCCAAAGTCATTTTTTTAATAGTTGGTCTCCGCCAGGGAGCAAACCCAGGACCTTCCGATCCGCTGGCAAGCATCTTACTACTTCTATATGATTATATCAGTACATACATAAGATCTTCCTCAAGTAAATACCACTATACATGGTACATGCCAAATAACAGAGAATTCTGCCAACCGTTTACGTGCTATGGACATTTAATTCTCGAAGACAATCCTTTTTGTGTGTGTGTGTGTGTGTGTGTGTGTGTGTGTGTGTGTGTGTGTGTGTGTGTGTGTGTGTGTGTGTGTGTGTGTGTGTGTGTGTGTGTGTGTGTGTGTGTGTGTGTGTGTGTGTGTGTGTGTGTGTGTGTGTGTGTGTGTGTGTGTGTGTGTGTGTGTGTGTGTGTGTGTGTGTGTGTGTGTGTGTGTGTGTGTGTGTGTGTGTGTGTGTGTGTGTGTGTGTGTGTGTGTGTGTGTGTGTGTGTGTGTGTGTGTGTGTGTGTGTGTGTGTGTGTGTGTGTGTGTGTGTGTGTGTGTGTGTGTGTGTGTGTGTGTGTGTGTGTGTGTGTGTGTGTGTGTGTGTGTGCGTGTGTGTGTGTGTGTGTGTGTGTGTGTGTGTGTGTGTGTGTGTGTGTGTGTGTGTGTGTGTGTGTGAAAACTTAAATTTTTTTTGTTCCCACACTTCAAACTGTTCTGAAAATGTACTCAGTTAATCAGATGCCATCTCCACAATGAAGAGTGGCCGCAACAGATCTCCAGTTTACTCTTTCTTTAGCTCTGGATGCCCACTTTCTCAGACTGCTGCTCACCCTTGTCGTTTTTATCCTCCCAATTGTATCAATGTTTCTTGCTTGCTTGTCTTTAACTGTCCCTTCAGGTATGTTTAAAAAAAATTTATTTTAAAAAGGAGTGTTATTTTAATATGGCGGATAGACTTCACTTGGTTTTTGTGTGTGTGCGTGCGTGCCAGTTTTTTCTTTTTTAAAAATTTCCTTCAGCAACTGTCTGTTTATTCCTTTCCCCCCCTAGTCTCTTAACAACCTCTGTATTTGTTTTTGTTTTGGTTTTAATAAAATACGACCTATCCTTCTGTATGTAAAAAAAGAATAATTAATGCAAACCATTCTAGTTTCCGCGGCGTCCGTGGCTTAGGCGTTGCGAGTCCGACTCGTGATCCAGCGTACCGCGATCGAAACCCACTGCTGGCTGTGTGGATTATCATGGTATGGGACGTCGCAGGTCGACCCAGCCTAGAATGGGTACCAGGATGGGCTGTCCTGGGAAAGTAAAGACAGCTGGCGTAATGCTGACCACATTACCCACCGAGTGCTGACGGTCTGTAAAAATATGAGCGTTCTTCCCATATGCCCGATACGCCTAAAGGCGTGGAAAGGGATCTTAACTTCACTTTTTTTTTTAATTCTAGTTCCTAATTGTTTTCTTTCTAGATACACCTGAATTTATGTTCTTCTTCATGATTCCTTGGGTCATCTGCGCCTCATGTATCCATCTGTCATCCACCGGATAGCTGTCCTTGCTAAAGTGTCATGAGGCTTTCTGCAAACACATCCAATCCATTTTTCTTACTTTTCTTATTTTTGCCAGTGATAAACATTTTGTTTTTCTCCTCAATTCTTCATTAGTGATCTTGTTTCGTCATGGTATTCCCATAATTTTCTCAAGACATTTATTTTGAAAAGTTTCCAGTTTATGTGTAATTCTTACTGTCATTTTCGTAGACATTTATCTTGAAAAGTCTCCAATTTATGTGTAATTCCCACTGTCATTTTCCTAGACATTCATTTTAAAAAGTCTCTAGCAGATCTAAGAATGAAAGGAAAAAACTTCTTGAACATTAAAGCATTGAGTTGTTTCAATATGAATGTGAAAACTAGCATCATCTTTACATATGTAATGTAACAGTCATAATGCTCTTGTAAACAGGTTGGTGGATACAGGAGTCTCACCTGGAGCAGCCATGAACCTTTTGTGACGGGCCCAAGATGTCTTACTAACCAAAACAGAAAAGGTGTGATAAGTAATACCTGTGGAGCTTTGAGGAGAAGATATAGCATCTTTGGATCTGTCCAGAGTGCACCGATTACAGTCCTCATTAATCACTTCAGAAGCATTTATTATACTGACTATAGTAAAGTAAAGATCACTTTTCATGCCTTTAGGTGCATCGGGCATATGGGAAAAGCACCCATTTCTTTTACTGACCAATCGTCACTGGGTGGGTACTGTGGTCAGCATTACGCCGGCCGTCTTTACTTCCCCAGGACATACATCCTGGTACCCATTTTAAGCTGGGTCGACCTGCAGCACCCCATACCATGATAAAAATCCACGCAGCCAGCAGTGGGTTTCGGTCGCGATAAGTTGGAATTACTATAATTATGTTAACTGTTGTTCGTACATCTGGGAGCCAAGCTATCACAGTGGCAAGACACTTGCCCAGTTGCCTGATAGTCTCAGTTCAATGCCTAAGCCACGGATGCTGCATTATACAGACTATTCTATTCATTACAAAAATATTTAAAAACATTCCTTGTCAATTTAAGTGGTTTTTTTCCAGCTGGGACTGCACCTGGAATGACTGCCATCCATTTTTTTTTAAAGAGCCACTATTCAGACGCAAATACCTCATATGTGGGTGCCAGGACCCTATCTGGGGCAGGGGAAAAAGAACTGACCCACTTCCTCCCTAACAAGCATCTCATAAAAGGCAACTAATTAGGGTTGATTTCTATGAAGTCAGACAGCATTTACCTGAGAGGGAAGGAACCAACAGTCTGCATTGTAAAATGGATGTACATGCTAAATTCAACAAGATTAAAGGCCAGAAGAGGATGAACAACCAGAACTTTCTGTCAGAGTTGACAGCCAGTGAACGTGAAGAAGAAGAAGATGTAAATCCCAGACACCCTGTTCGACCGATCTTTTTCTTCATTAGCGTTAGCTTTAAAAAGCTGGTTAGCAAGTTGTGTTGTGGTTTACAGCAAGGTTGTGATATCTGTGTCTCTAGACCCTTCACATCTAATTTCAGAAGTTGTGATATATGCGTCTCTAGACCCTTCACATCCAATTTCAGAACAGTGCAGATTTATTTCCTTTTACGACATTTTTGTTCGGGAAACAGTGGTTCTATTCTTTTCCCCCACCAAAACTGGGGCCCACATGAGTAATTCAACTGTATGAAACAGTTATATTAGAGGAACTCTACGGTTATAAAGTAACTTATGTATAATGTAGGTTGTTCATTAACTGATGATCTGTTGTAACTGCTGCTTCAATCGATGATGAACACTTTTAGTGCTGGACTGCTTGTGTTGGCATTTCTGACAGCTGCCTTATGCATTTAATTCTTTTGCATACTACTGACTTTGAGGAGACTGCAGTTAGCTTCCATGTTTTCACAAGGGACGGTGAGGGGTATTTTGTGTGGTTTTTGCTGGCAATGGAACAGAGCAACTGTGGGGTCACACGTTTGCTGTGATTTTGGAACTGTGATTACATGATTACCTGATCATTATGACCAAAGCCGATAGGTAGAACAATTGCAATGGAATCTGCTGTCTCAATGTTTCACACTCTGGGGAATGAAGTGTTAATTGTCTGCTAAAACATTTGAACAAAACACTTCCTCTGTTCACTCTCCCTGCAAGTGGTTTTCTGACTGAGAAGTCCACAGGTATGCATGAAGATTGTGGTGCGACTCATATCCTCCATACAATTTGGTTTCCAACAGAATGCCAACAGACAAGAAAAAGGATCTTTCTACTGCAAGTAAATAGCATGAACAAAACCACATTTTGAAAAAAATGAAACCACACAAGATGATCCATTCACCAATGTTCATTTCAAGAAAAGTCTATATACACAGCTTGCTGTCTTCCCAAACAAAACAATAATTGTGCAAGCATTGACACTGCCATTTTCAGAACAAGGAGCCACATTGACACTCAGTGCAGCACAACAAAATTTCTAACAAATAAGACCTCAATGATTTTCTATCTGCTCTAGGTCTAAGTCACTGACAGGAAAGAAGCCGACTCTGTCATCGGTCTGGTTGTCATGGCAGTCACAATCCTCCTCCTCCTCCTCTTCATCTTCTCCCTCATGCTCTTCCTGCCTCTTCTCAGGATCTGGGAAATCTGAAGGTGTACGGCAATGAGGCCTGGCAGAAGGACCCGCAGGGCCGCCACGAGTGGTATTTATGTCCAGGAAATGCTGAGCTATGATTGGCAGCTCAGAGTCCAGAGGAGAACTGGCAATTGGGTTCAAGCCAAACCTGACGTTGTCTGGAAACATTTGATATAGTGGAACCTGAAGCTGAAAATAAAATAACAGGAAATGTAGTTAATCACTTCTCTATATTAAACATTCAACATACCAGGTGAAATGAAAACCTTAAATGTGTGATATAAATTAGAATAACCATGCATTTGTCTTGTAAGCTGTCAATATTGTTGTTAAAGATATCAAGAGTGTTAAGCACATGACATCACAGTGCAGAGATAGTGATGTCATAATGACTGTTCAAAGACCGCATAACATGCATCAAAGAGGAGAAGCCTTTCGTTATCAGTTTTCTGATCAGAAATTTACTGGCAAATGGAGGTCAGCGTGGTGATGCACGCCTGTCAGTCCTGCAGGTGTATCAGTGGAGTAGGAAGTTTCAAAATGTACGATTTCTGTGACCGATTATTCATGATGACTGACCCGGTTTTTATTTGAAGTCTCTGCGTACAATGATTCTGACATTGGTATGTATGAATGCCATATGGCATTGTTCTTCTTCTTATTAAAAGAGTGGTTGGTACTGTATGTTGCAGCAGACAGCTAGGCTGTAATATCTGCACCTTTTGGCTAAAAACAACCAATTTCAGCAACCCCTTATTAGTCACCTTTTATGGCATTCCTCGTTGAAGCAGGGAGAGGTGGAGAAGTGTGTCTATTCTTTTTCTCTACCAAAACTGGCCTAGGAACTGAGGTAACCTTCAGAGAGCAATGGCTAACTACTGAACATAAAAATGCCTGGTAAAACCACACAAGAGACAGAAAGTTGCTGGGGTTGGTTTAGTCTATGATATTTCAACACAATATCAATCACAAACCAGAATCAAACTGAAATGTTCAAAGTTTCAAACAAATTGTTTCTTTTAAATGAACAGCTTTTATAGCTGTTCTTTGCAAAGCTGGAGGAAACACATGATCGCCCTAACAATGAGGTTCATCCACTCAGATTCTTCTTTTTCTTCTTGTTCACCGTCTGTAGACTCCGACATAAAGTTCTGGTTGTTCATCACCTTTGGACCTTAGTCTTGTTCCAGAACATGAGTGTTGTGTGCACATCCATTTGACAGATCTGGCTTCTTTGTATGCAGACTGTTGGTTCCTTGCCTCTAAGGCAGATGCACTCTGACTCTGAAGGAAGCCCCCAATTAGTTGACTCTTACGACATGCTTGTTGGGGAGGCAGTGGGTCTATTCCTATTTTCCCGAAATTAGGCTCTCGGAACCCAAAAAATGGAATTCATATTCAAAACAAACTATCTTCGTCTGACATTTAGAAATCTGTTGAATTCCCACAAATAAACTCATCAGTGATGATCTAGAGTGATACCATTTATTACACAGTAAAAATGCTGCTAACATGAATTCCAAGAAAGTGAATAATCAAGAGTAAATGTTAAATAATGTGTGCTAAACAAAGACTAATAATTAAACATCCCTGCTGGAACTAGTCTTATTCATATTAACTGATAGTTCTTCAAAAGCTAGTTCATGTTAACTGATGTTCATGTATCTGGGAGCCAAGTTATCACAGTGGCAAGATACTTGCCCAGTTGCCTGAAAGTCTCAGTTCAAATCCCCACCTTTTTTCACCCTCATTCCCAGGTAGAGTCAGGTACAGGATATGTTAAGGGAAGCAAAGGTGGTCGGCGTGATGCAGACCACATCATCTGCTGAGTGTAAATTTATCTATACAAATTAGTATAACCCCATATATTGAATGCATCTATGGTAGGAAAAGGGTCTTAGTTAAAGTTAGTTTGTATTTCTAAGCAGGCACTATACTTAGTGACTGAAAAGTAAATTCCTTTTTTAAAATACTTATAAACTATTTAATTACGGTAATTTTTGTCTCAAATTATTTTTGTTTAATCTTTAATCTGTAAATTTAATCTGTCTGTATCAGGTATCTGTGCTTCAGAGTGATTATTTTATTTGAAATTTAGCAGCGGTACAATCATGAACAAAAAATGAGAAGTTACGTGTTCCATTCCACAAGAGTTCTTAGTCAAATCAGTGAATGTGATTCTTGACAACCCAAGAAGATAGTAGGGAAATCTGTTGCCCATATCGAATTTCGAACCGAGCCTCATGCTAAACACTTGTTTTTCATATCCATATGTTATTCAAAAAACATTCATTGTTAATAAATAAAGTCTAAGTATTTTGAGATGATGTGTTGTTTTTTCAATCACCCTGCCGATGAACTCTTGACACCTACAACCTGTGTCTATGCTTCCATTCAATAATCCATTTTCTTCTCTCGGGACATTCATGAAGATCAGTCAGGTGATGCGGGTCAATATCACATTTAACCCCTTGATATTAGTTTTGCAAAGAAATAATTACACTACAAATGCACACCAGCTGTGCAGAGACGAGAGCACAACCCAGCCAGCATATTCCTTGAAGTCTTCCCTCCAAATCTGTCCATTTGCTTCTTTTGAATACAAGTTGACTAGAGCCATCCAATATGTTACTAGCAATTACACATAACGAAAGGAAGTTGCCAGCTGTAATCTGAATAGGAATAATGCTATTGAGTAGTCCAAAAATCATTATCATCATCATCATCCTCTCTATGCCGTTAGATGTCACATAGGGCTTGCATTCAATTCCTCCACTCCACTCTATTCCATGCAACTTTATCAATTTCTGACACACAGTTTAGTCCAGCATTTTTTGTGCCTCTCGTAATAATGTTCTTCTTAATGTTTCCCTTGGAGGTCCTCTTCTCTCAGACTGTTTCCTATTTTGTAATTCTTTGCTCATTTCATCTCAGAGTGTGCCCAACATATCACCACTTTCTTTGTCTCATTGCAATCGATACAGGTATTTGTCCAGACATGACTCTAATCTACACACTCCTTCTGAATTCATCCCATTTTATGTTCATGAATTTTGCCAGACATTTATTTTCAAATGCATTTAACTTTTGTTCCATATCTTAGGTAGTACTCCAACTTTCGCCGGCATATGTGAGAACTGAAATAACAATTGAAATGAAGATTCATAGTTAGGTCTTAATGCTGTATAAGTGTATAAGTCCAAAAACATCTAGTGATTAATCATTCCCTTCATTACTATGAAGTACACATGAGCAGATAAAAGGCCATAAGTACATCACAGGTAAGGAAATATCCACCCCATTTCTCTAATATACATAGGGACTCTGTGGTGGAGTAGTGTGGCTTGTGCTCTGAGGGTTGTGGGTTTTTATTTCAGACTTGGTCTTTCAGTTTGCTACAAAACAGCGATTTCAGCATACATGGTAGGACTTCTTACTAGGTAAAATTGAGAAAAGAGGACTTCAATAAGTCTTTAGCCAATGACCAAGGCCTATTCCACACTGAAATTAAACATCTACAGCACCACACAGAACAATTTCACAACAGTTGCCTCAAACAACACATGGAGGCCAATGCTGAAAATAAAAAAGACTACACTCTAGCCAACCTTCACTGTGGAGATAGCACACATACACACAAAATATTCCCTCTCTAATTCCATGAATAATTCGGGTAACTGATAAGCCAGAAGCAGTAACCAAGACATCCTGACCGCAGCTACCCAGCAGTACATATGTAGAGAGTCGTACAGGAGCAACAGCAGCAAAAACATGATGTCGTTTGTTACAAGGCTCACCTGGTGATCAGCGACAGATGTGTTCCATGGCTCTGATCTTCGATGACTTCGTGTATATGCAGTCTGCAAAATATCAGTATGTTATCTGAGAAAACATGTTCAAAAGTGGCCCCCCTCCTTTTTCCAGTTATTAACATAATGAATTTGTTTCTAACTGCTCATTATCATGTTCTATTATCAGCAGAGATGTGGTTTCTGAGACGAATGTTACGAATACCTTAGACGGCCAGAGTAACTAACAACGATTGCTTGAAAGTAAATCTCTATATACAACAATAAGAAAGTGACAAACACTGTTCTTTAGCCACATAATAAGAAGTGAGACATTGGAGAACATCGTGACAACTGGAAAGATCAGTGGAAAAAGGGGTAGAGGCAGACCAAGAGACATAATGCTGGATGGGCTAAAACAATGGCATGGAGGGATATCATCAAGAGAGCTGTTCTAGGCAACCAGGGATCATGATCTGTGGAGACGCATAAGTGCCTACGCCTACTTGCAGGACACATGATGATGATCATCATCATCAGCAAGACATTGTTTATGCGTATGTTTATGTGGCAGGAACAAAAAAGCCACAGAATCAGTATTCGGTGATGCATCCAAACAGCTTGAAACTGAGGAGTATAAACTGTTTACTGTACTTAGACTCAATGGAAAGTGCTTTTTAGATGAGCAGTAGAGTGAGAAAAACATGGCTGAAATGCACATAAGCGTCTGTGAGCATCTGTGTTAAAACCTCTACATGATACTCAATCAATAATATGAGCTTGTTTAAGGCTGTCTTCTTCAACCCACGGGCCTTGGCCCAATGGTGAGCCGCAAACAAAATTCAAATGGGCTGCCAAACATTTCTGCCTGATCATGTAATGGGGTCAGGTAGGTAGTTTTTCTCTTTCAGAATTGCAGTAGAATTAACAAGAATCAATCAGGTATGAATCATAGAAACCCTACTCAACCACGTAAAACAGTTACAGTAGATTACGGCACCTGATAATAAGGTAACCTGTAGTCCACTCTGGGGTGTGGGCAAGGGCTATAACTCATGTTGCCCAGTGTCGGAATTTACTCTTAACACTTGATCATCATGATAAAGAAAAGCTGATCAAATTTTTTTTCTGATGTCACTGTTGTGTCCAGGTATTAAATCTAACCATGTCCGAGTTTTGGATATCATTTGAAAAAGAATTTCAATCTCATCTCTGAGTTATAGAACTAGCAGGCTATAGGTGTTTTTTTTTTAACTTCTTGTTTAAGGATAGGATACAAGGTAAGAGGCTGACCACAAAAGAGATGGATGGAGGGAGTAAGACACTACATAATCCTAATATGACATTTACGCAAGCTAACCAACAAGCATAAGACAGGAAACTACATATAACTTCTCTGTGAAGCTTCACAGTATAACCAGTAGCGTATAAGAAGAAGAAAGAAGACATAAATGGATGCTGTAATTATGGTAAAGTAACTTTTTGACTTGAACAGAGCCCTTAACTCTTTAAACTGAACATAAATCACAATCAGTAAAAACGATGCTAGGGTTGGTTCTGCAATATGACACAAAACTAACTTCTGTTTATTTTTTAAGATGCCATATTCTTTTCCACCCCAAAATGGGTACCGCCTGTGTTACTGTTACACAACATTTATAGACTATGCATGTATGGTTTGACTCACCTCGGTCATTTTGATAAAATTCAGTGTTGGTCTATCACAGTCGCGACGCCGCTTCTTTCCACAGCGGCGGTGGTGGAGGACACAGGGCTGAGAGTGGCACCTGGGGATGCCACCGCTGCCACAAACGTTGCTGCCATCCTGGCTGTTGCTGCCGCAGCACTGGGAGGAATGTTCAGCGCTGCCATGGAAGCAGGATATAGAGTTGGAGGAGGATGATCCAGAGATTCGGTCCTCACATGAAAGACTACGGTTTTCTAGTACACGTGTTCGACTTTTCAAAGGGCTATAGTCGTGCCAAGCTGAGCCCAATGAGCTGAATGATGTGTCACTGGCTGCTGAGGCAGGCCGAGGAACTGGCGACCCAGACGGCGTCTGGAAGTCTGATGTGGTATAGTGGCCACTGTCTATACTGGGCGGAGAGGGGACCACTGGTACGAGTCTGAAACCTGAGGAAAATTTTGGCAACCATTTGGTAGATTCACCGGTGTGGATTACTGGCAGCAAATTTCTGTCTTTGTTGTCCTGAACATTGTTATTACTTTGAGGAATCACAGCTATAGGTTTCCAAATCTTGCCACCTTGGTCTCTTGTGGGTGCTTGGAAAGCTATCAGGTTATCAGGGGGGACGGACAATGATCTACAGTGCTTCTTTTTAGGTGGTGGAATGGGAGTGCCGGGTGCACTATCACAAAGCTGGCAAGAATATCTAGGTTTCTTGTGTTGGCAGACACTGAGTGTGAATGTCTGTATGTCTTCCAGTGGTCTGGGTATTGATTTAGCAATATCCTGGTTGGCAAAGTCATAACGACCCTGCCTTTCTGATTCCAAAGATAATGCCCAAACATTTTTACCTGCAAATGGAAACACAAGAAGTTATTTTTCTGTGCTATTCAATAAAGTTGATAATAACAACTGCTTAACAATACTTCTTCTTCTTCTGTGAGTGACCAGAGGATCTGACACAGAACACTCATAGGAAATGCAAGATTAAAACATAATCAAGCTAAAGCTGGCACCAGTAATTTTGGGGCAATCATTTGGCAGTGGTAATCAGGGTCTGTGGCTTATGCATTGTGAAAGTACTTCGTAATGCCGGGTTGGATCCCAGCTGTGGACGATTTGGCAGTAGAACATCTTGCACTGTTTTTGACTGTAGCTGGCTGTTCATAAAGCAATGGCAAACTACAGATTATTAAATTTGCTAGAAAAATAAAAACAGCTAACTAACAAATGCTGGGGTTGTTTATGCAAAGTCCTGTGAAGGATACGCAACTGACCTTTTTAATCAGGACAGCAGAGCAATTATGGCAATGTCCTAAGAGAAGTGATATCGGTTTTAACTTACCTCAACTGAAGATATACAGGGGTCTGTTTTACTCGTAATAAACACTGCTAACACAACACAGTAGAGAAGCAAGGCGTACTTTTAATTCTATCCATTCAAAAATATCTCACTGGTCTAATTTGTCACAACTTACAGATCAAATTACCAGGAAACTTCAAAACAATAAAAGTAATAAAAATAATTGCACATAGAGGACAGGCAAAATGATCCCAATATTTGTTGGCTGTTTGTAATTTCAGTAGGCCATTTAACATCAGTAGTTTGCCACTGCTCTCAATACTTATTTGTGCAGCGTTCTCAACAATTTTTTGCAGAGAGAGAGAGAGAGAGAGAGAGAGAGAGAGAGAGAGAGAGAGAGAGAGAGAGAGAGAGAGAGAGAGAGAGAGAGAGAGAGAGAGAGAGAGAGAGAGAGAGACCAAACCACATGCGATAAAAAGTGTCTTTGGAATCAAACAGTTACTATCTTCTTCATGCTCACCAGCTGCACACTCTGGCAGAAAGGTCTGGTTGTTCATCCACTTCTGGATTTTAGTCTTGTTCCAGAACTTGAGTTTGGTGTGCACATTAATTTTACAGATCTGGCACAATGTATGCATAATGTTGGTTCCTTGACTCTCAATAGATGCACTCCAATTTTGAAAGAACATCCTTATGTAGTCAACTTTTACAACATGCTTGTTAGATGGAGGGCGGTGAGTCAATTCTTTTTCTCACAAAAATTGGAACCTACAGGGAAATAATTAATATAAGAATCTATTTTATTTTCGGAGAACAAAATATCAAGATGAGAAATAACAGGTGGAGGCACCACAGTCAACACAAACAAAGATGTAAGTAAATGAAAGTATTAATTTCTTTCATGTCCGATGTCCTATCAAATATATGGTACTTGTTGCATATATTTAATCACCAACTATCACTGAATTGTTGGTTTGGTAAGCAAATTGCCAACAGTCTAAACTTCCCAAAACATGTTCTGTTACCAGAGTGAGTGAGTGAGTGAGTGAGTGGAGTGAGTGAGTGAGAGAGAGAGAGGGAGAAAGAGACAGAGAGAGAGAGGGGGAGGGGGGTTAGGGAGGGAAAGATAAAAAGGAGGGAGAGACAAACAGACCTATCAAATTGTCAAGGGCAGAACCAGGATTCTGGTTACACAGAACTAACCTTGTACTGTAAGGTTCGGCTGTTGCTGACTTACTGACTTCACTGAACTGTCTTGGGTCACCTGCTGAATATAGTGAGGGAAGATGTGAGTACATGCAAAGCAAACTTACTATAGTGCAGACCTGATAAGCAGAACTCACTAGGGACCTAATAAATGGTTCTTCTTATTTGAAACTCTTCTTATTCAGAAAGAGTTCGAGCAAGAATAACTACTGGAGATAAACAAACTGTTCTTTGCAACAGAAATTCACCACATCCAAGATCGCCTAAAGTGGTATGCACTGCATATGCAACATAAAACATAACCTACCCCTTCAGGTGGCCCAGATAAGGCATTCATAGTGGCCAGTTGTTTCCTCTAAAAACTTCATTAGCACATACATGCCTGCCTAGCTGATCTGGACAAGACTTCACTTGTATGACACTGGGTTATAGTAGGCAGCAATGTCATCATCTACAAGGCATCACTTATTAAATGTCACCTACCAGCCTGTCATCTATCAAATGCTGTTTGCCAAATGTCATATGCCAAAGTGTCATCTATCAAGTGCCATTTGCCGAATGTCATATATCAAAACGTCATCTATCAGTCTGTCATATATCAAGTGCTGTTTGCCAAATGTCATATAACAAAGTGTCATCTATCAAACGGTACCTACCAAGTGTCATCTCTCAAATGACACAAAAGCTATACTTACCATGCCGGGAACTGAACTTGTCACCTCAAAATGATGACAGCGCCTAGGTGCAGAACAAGATTACTTAAAGCCATGACCAACTAAGCGAAGTGTACTAGGATGCATGACCAACTACTGGGCATGCGTCTTAGTACAAATGTCCTGCAGCAAGGTGCTATCATCACTTGGAGTTGATTCCCGCCTTTGTAACTATAGCTATAAAACTGTATATTGTCTAATGTGTCCTCCTATCTTTCTACTTCTTTCTATGAGTGCCCATCAAAACCTGTCAATTTGTATATATCTATAAGTAAAATAAGTAAAGGAACCTTTTCCACGCCTTTAGGCGTATAGGGCATATAGGGCTAGACCTATAATTTTATAGACCAATCGGCACAAGATGGGTGTTGTGGTCAGCATCACACCGGCCCCGTCTACTTCCCAGCACTGCAACCAGTACCAACTCAAGGCTGGGTTGATTTGGGAGCCAAGGTCATTTTTTTTAAAAGTCCGGCTCCACCAGGGAGCGAACCCGCGACCTTCCGATCTGTGGCGAGCGGCTAGCCGCTCTGCGACAGCGACTCCCTGTATGTATCTATATATAAAGTGTATTACAGACCAGCAATGGCCTAGCTGTTTACTTGTTAAGAAGTCCATGTTAAATCAACAGCAATGGCTGCATTGCCCCCCCCCCCCCCCCATAAGCCGGGCTCAGGGGGTAGGGAGCGACGGTGGTGTAGTAGCTAAACACTCGCTTACAGATCCGAAGGTCATGAGTTCAGGTTTTGATGGGGGCTAGACTTTTTTTTTTCCGAAAATGACCTTGACTCCCAGGTTGGCCCAGCCTTGAATGGGGACCATACAACGTCCTGGGAAGTAAAGACTGCTGGCATGATGTCGACCATATTACTCATCGAGCGTTGACTGGTCTATAGAATATAGGTCTAGTCCTATATAACCTTTATTCCTGTGGGCGTGGAAAAGGCTTCTTTATTATATCTGTATGGCTCTAGTGTGAACCCAGCCTGATAAAGAATAGCCAACAGACAAAGACCAACACTTTTAGGGGGAACTGTCTGGTACAGAAAGGTGACCCAAAAAAAAAAAGGGAACTGGCAACCACAAAGCCCCACTCTGTAAGTCAAGGCCTAGAATACTAGGGGTCCAACATTGCCGGAGCTATGGAGTTCATGATTTGTGCAGCGCTCTCGACAATCTTCTGCACAGAGAGAGAGACTGAACCATATGGGATCAAATCTGGTAGTGCAATTATGTTGTTCATCTTAACTGTAAACAGTTAACTACAACCACAACAGCATTAACTGCTACAGGATCACCTATACTTTTGTGTGTGTGGGTACTTGTACCTGCCTGATCAGCTACAGAACACCACCCCCCGCTCCCTCCTCCAAAGCAGAATATTTTTCTCACACTCTACCCAACACATGGAGAAAACATGGCTGTCTAATTCAAAACATCCTGCGTGTATTATGCCACTCTGTACCATAAAACACAGTTACCTTCTCCCAACTGTATTTTCCATGCTGTAATCATACATAACAGGTGCATGTCTGTTTTAAGCATTTCACAATTTACACATGCATAAACAAATGTGTTTATATGCAGTATATTTTCCTCATGTGGGTTTCAGGGGTCCCATTTGGAGTGAATTGTAGGGGGGGGGGGGGGGGGGGGGGGCTACTACTCCGCTAACAAGCATTTCGTAAAAGTCAATTAATTAAGAGTTTCCTTTGAAGCCAGAACACAACTGCCTGAGAGGTAAGGAACCAACAGTTTCCTTACAAATAAGCCAGCTCTGTAAAACGCATGTGCATGCAAAACTCAAGTTCTGGAACAAGACTTAAGTCCAGAACTGGAAGAACAAACAGAACTTCCTGCCAGATTTTACAGCCAGTGAACATAAAGAAGAAGAAGAAGACATGTATGTTTTAGCAAATAACAGCTGTGGGTGCAGAAGCGCATTGGGAAGGTTACTAGCCTTATCACAGAAAGAGGAAATGCAAACTGAAAACCTATATTTCGGCAGGGCTGACTAGCTCCTTAGCCTTGGCTGGCAGCTGGTCTATGAGGGAAGCTCTGACTGGGGGACACATAGATCACTTCTCTTCTTTTCTGGCATCTTGTGGGGCATGCTTTGTTCCAAAGCTATTAGTTGTACCTTTCCTTGGAGCCATCAAGGTAGGACGAGCGAGGGATCATGCTACATGGACAACTCATGATCTCTACAATACTGCTCAGCCTTTGTGTTTTGTAATGGCAACAATTGTCCTGAAATCCATTGCTCTAAAGGTAGAAGATCTAATGCCAGCTGATCTTACTAACTGATCTATGGTTCACCACGTGAGAAACTCTTGGACTTATACGGCTCAGGTTGGAGTAAGAACTGTATTGCAAGATTCTGGCGCTTTTGCCTTGACTATAAGTAGTCTGACTATAAAGGTCATGGATGTGACCAAAGCATGTTATCTCCGTTACCTAATGAGTGTGGTTAGGAAAACAGAGATGGGCTGGGGCTGAAAATAGTGGTTAGAGTCTCTGAGGCGGATATGGGCTGATGCATACCAGTTTCATATTCATATAAGGGCATTCAGGTGAGCAAGAAAATGAGCACGCTGACAGGCTTGCGGGTAAAGCTACCGTAGCAGGCGAATGTGCCATGGACCATAATGATATACTGAATGCTATCCAAGAAGTGAAACATTCACAAGAATCTGCAACCATGACCATACTGCAAGAACATCATGTTAAAGGGAGTGTGGCCAGACAAGAGCACTATGCAAGAAGCCAAAGAAGAATAAGAAACCAACACAGGACTGGTGTCATCAGCCACTATACGCTGTGGGATTTACTGAGGAGGGGATCTGAGCCCTTATGGACGAATGGTTTGATGCACAATGAGGATAATCTGTCGAGCAACTAACTAACTGGACTTGCTAGTCACCCTTGCCACAGCAACAGGGAACAACATGAAACTGGAAACACCAAGAGGCAGCGGGAGACCTGCAAGAAGACGTGATAAAGGCGTTACTGCTGCTGACAACTCGAAGCTTCAAATATCACAGGATTCCAAGCATAGAGCGTTGGTTAAACTTACAACTTGTGGCACAAATCAGGTACTGACATAATAAGGATTTGAGATGAAAATAAACTAACACACAACTGTCAAGAGAGCGAGAAGAGATATGACAGAGAGAGGATGGGGATAGGCCTGTGGTGTAAATTAAGTAATAATCCTGACCCACAGAGGCCTGGCGTCCCGCCATGAGAATTCTATATTAACTGATCAATAACAGCTTGACTAGGGCAGTGTTTCCGCCTGAGTTATTGCAGCCTGCAAGGTTTCGGAAATGGCTGCAGGACTAATGATTGCTGGATACAGTTTATTAGCTGATTCAGCGATCCGTGAGCGTGCTGTGTTCGCTTAATATCGTGTGTTTGCAAGATATATGTACGTGTGTGTGTGTGTGTGTGTGGTGTGTGTGTGTATGTGTGTGTTAAAGTGTAGTTATGATGTCTTCCGTTTCCGTGCATTTCTGTAGATTTACGTTGATCACGAGCGAGTGTTTATGTGTGCGCTTACGTGTATTCGTGTAGTTATATTGTTTTCCTGTTTTCGTACATCTTAGTGTGTGTGTGTGTGTGTGTTTGAGTGCGCGCGCGCGCGTGGGTGTCACGCCATACCGCTCTTCGTGGGAAACTGATAATGGAGCGCGTTTGTGGTCATTTACATAACGGCTAGCCTTAGAGGTCGGCGTCTGTGGCTTAGGCGTTGCGAACGCGCTTCGTAATGCCGAATTCGATCTCAGGTGCGGACGATCTGTCTTGCTTTGGTTTCGACAGTGGTACGGAAAGCTGACCGTTTAGAGGCACTGGCAAACTGCTGAACCTAATACGTGCCTAGAGAAACCACAACAGCCAGAAATGCTGGGGTTGGTTCTGCGACGTCCTGTGAAGGATACGCAACTAACTTTAGCCCCGGAGATGGCACATGTCGCATTTGAAAGAGGTATGCGGAATATTATCATGGGCAGTCGGCCGATTATTGAAAAATCATACTGAAGTTGTAGCATTACGGTTTTACAGAACAATTAGAACGCCATGGACAGATTTTACAGCGTTATGAAGATGTAAATTAAACAAATTTACCCAAGAAGAGAACCGACAAACTACATTCTTGAGAAGGAAAACCTTGTGTATGTCGTGACAACGAGACATCTGGAGGGGAAGAAAGGCACTGGGAGAGCAAGATAGAGAGAGAGAGAAAAGAAATGCTGGACAGTTTGGCATTAGGGCGCAAAAAAAAAAAACATCTGTATCAGAAACTGCTGACACTACACGAGATAGAAGGTTGTGCAGGCAGACAGGA